CACTCTCATATACTGGTTGAAATATTGTCTCCTGTCTGTTGCTCATGGGTCCACTTCAGTAAATGTTGTTATTCCCTATTTGTTCTACTTAATATGTTCTTTTTAACTTAACAGTGAGGTGTTATGATCTTCTCATGTTCGTGTCTTTGTCATTTTGTGTCATCAGTATTTCACTCTATCAATGTCTTACAGCTGTTAAAAAAAAAATGTATATATTTAGTATTATATTTATTATTTCCCTTGTTTCATTGCGCACATTATTGGGGTTATTCAGTAAGACAGTTGCAGTTGCCTCTCACAACAGCTGAACGCAGTGAACGTAGAATGGAAGGTTCCATCACGTTTGCACACTGAAAATCCGGCTGAGGATTGTCCACTATAATTCACATTTTCCTGAAGCACTTCTGATTGCCCTCCAGTCAGGATCATTGTATTTGTCTATTTTTTATTTTGGCCTTTTGTATTTTTTGCTTCCATTTTTCTGTGTGATATCAGTGCTAGTGATGGCATGATAGTTCTGTTGGTATTGGGTATCTGCACCATTGTACATCCAATAACTGTTAGATGTAGGGTTATCAGGTTAGGTTATAGCTGAACTTCAGACACAACAGCTTTTCATGTGTATTTGATATGACAGGACTATTGTGTTATGATCCCTGAATATTCTCATGACCTGTTTGGTCCAACAGCACAGCCCAAGCAGTTATGGCACCACAGCTCCACAGTGCCTGCACCTACAGAGGTGAGTGAGGGCTTTTTTTTTACATCCTCTTAATGGTTTGTTAAGGTTATGTGAATATTTTAATGTCCATAGCCTGGCCACAGTTCCACTTTAAAGCAACTTTGTCACTTTATCAAACCTGAAATAAGCTGAACCTGTTAAACTTTGGCCCTCCAGCTGTGGTGAAACAACAAATCCCATTATGCATCTGCCTCTGGAAGGCATGCCTGTCAGAGTGTTGCAGCGCCTCATGGGACTTGTAGTTTCACAACAGCTGGATGGGCAATGTTTGGCTACCCCTGCTGTAATATAAATGAATACTTGCCTCTCCATCGTCTGTTCCGCTAAGAAACCGCCTCTGAAGTGTCTTCTGAAACCAACACTTACAGGATTGTTGATCCCTCTGCAGCTCGCACTGGTCCTTCACACCACCTACTGTGTTCGGCAGTGGCGTTAGGGTCGGCTGGAAGAACAGAGCACTGCGGGGAACAAAGCAATCGGACACTTCATAGGAGGATTTCTTCACAAAGTAGTGGGGTTCAGGGGTGAGGGCAGCATGAGAGATATGGATATACTTACATTTTTTTACAGGACCAGCTTATTCCAGAAGGTTCAGTAACGCAACAGTCTCTTTAAGTGGTCAGTTTAGGGGTTATCGGTTGTGGTAAATGTATATGTCATCTGTAATAAATTAATGCCAAACCTTTTATGTCCAGAACAACCTCAGCACTTGTATTTTGCCAAAATTGGGTGTAAAGTCTAGAAAACCTTTCAGTTGAGTTTGCCTCCTTTATGGTTCACAGTGAAGAAGTGATATAAGGTGTTTTTTGTTTGAAGTGCACATCAGATATCATTTGTAGGCTATACCTATGGCCTTGGTAGCAGAAGTGATCATGCTAGACTTGTCATGCTATTGTTTATTTATTTGCTGTATTTGTCTTGGTGTAATTATGATGAAAACTGTTTTGTGTCTTCTGTATGTGACCGTCCGGTATAAACTGATGAATTGTCAACGGTGTTTCTGGTTTACTCAAAACTATGTGTAAAATTGATGAATTCTGTTTCTCTTTCTGAAAAGGGATACATTTTTTTTTTTAAAATAAATTATTTATTGTTTGTTAACTCTTCTGAACTAAATTCTCCATGAACGTGTCTCTTTTTTATTTTTCTGTTGACGAAGTGTCAGTCTACCCAAAAGGGATTTCCTGAGGCCAAACATGGCAGCATACTGATGGGTATAGCTCCGCTCCCCGTCAGTATGCTGTCATGTATTGGCGTCAGGAAAGGAAAATGACCGATAGGTAAGTATACAATTTTCCGCTTTCCTGATGCCAAACATGGCAGCATACTGATGGGGCGGAGCTACAGTGAGTGGCCAGATTATTATGACCACCCCATCAGTAGTTCGTTGGGCCACGAGATGACTTCGTTGGGCCGCCTCGTGACTCCACAAGATGTTGAAATTTGATGTGAGGAATCTGACACTGCACTGTTGCCCTTCTGTTGTCTTGTACCAGCCTTGCCACTCTCCGTTCTGCCCTAACATTGACTAGTCGCTGACGGCCACAATTCGCACGTTCAGACCCAGATTTTCGGCTGACAGTCCAGTCTTTAAACACTTTAACAACAGCTGCTCTTGAACATTTAACAAATTCTGCTGTTTTGCTGATACTCGCTCCATGGCTCCGAGCGCCAACAATCATCCCACGTTCAAAGGTTGTTAAATCGCGTTGTTTACCCGTATCTTCAGAAACAAATCACTTCTACTGTCGTGGTAAACAACCTGCTTCCCTATCTATAATGGTCTGGCCCTCCAGCCACTTCAGCGCCAAATTATAGCGAATTAGCCTACAAACGTCAGGTGGTCATAATAATCTGGCCACTCAGTGTATACGCATCAGTATGCTGCCATGTATTGGCGTCAGAAAAGGAAAATGACCGATAGGTAAGTATACAATTTTCCGCTTTCCTGACGCCAAACATGGCAGCATACTGATGGGGGCGGAGCTATACCCATCAGTATGCTGCCATATATTGGCATCAGGAAAGGAAAATGACCGATAGGTACGTATACAATTTTCCGCTATTTGTGTTACAGATGGACGTGAGGTTCTTGCTGGCTTCTTGTCTCTGATTAGGTTTTGAAGAGCGAGATCTTTCTGAGAGTTCCCGCCTATCTTGGGGTTGGACTACTCTTACTTCTGGATGTTCCCACTTCTTGCATTCACCAAAGTAATAAAATAGATGTAAACCCTGTATGGATGACCTTTGGTTTTCTAAAGCACCGTGTATCATAAACAACTATAATGTTTTATTTCTTTAGACAATACGTTTTCCCCGACAGGATAAGATTTGGGGCAGCACTTTGCCAGGAAGGTCCCTGTTCACACCTGAAATTGATGGATAAATAGTTTAAATGAAAGCAATGCACATTGGGGGGAATTTATCACAAATGGAGCAGACAGAAGGTGGAACAGTTGCCCATGGATACCAATCAGCTTCTCTCTTCAGTTTGCTCAGTTAAGATTTGAAAATGAGAGATAGAAGCTGATTGGTTGCCATGCAAATCTGTTCCAGTTTTGATAAATGCCCCTCATTGTGCTGTTTGGTGCACTCACGCCCCAAAGCAGTAAAACAAGCTTTACCGCAGCACAGGGGTATGAATGAGGGCCGCCTTCTTCTCTGCAGATTTCAGATGAGGACTCTTACCTTTTCTGTTGAAGCAAAAGGGTTGAGATTTATAAGTCATTGACCAGTCCCCAAGAACAAGGATGAAGTAACCCTTTCCTTCACATCACTAGTAAAACTATTTGCTTCCTTTCAGAACAGAGCTCCTCATTTTAATAGTCTAGCTGTGCATTCAAAGTACTCACGTCCGGAAACAAAATGGGAGGGGGGGTTATGGTACTGCTGACCTTTTGAAAAAGCTAATTGCCTTGAAGTTATAC